ACTCGCATAAGAGAGCAGATTTCACCCCAAGCTCAAAGAGGGGACTGTGTGTAGAAGAGAGAGAAGAGAGAACGGAAAAATAATGGTACGCCGAGGTTGAGAAGCACTGTTCTAGATGAAGTTGGTGATTTAGTGTTTGTTGACTACAGTATATGCTTCACGGTGCTATGTGTTGTTTAAAGGGCAACACAGAAATACACTTTGATTGGTAAGTAACATGATTCAGTCAATTTGGCAACATTTGTGCTAGATAAAAATGAGTGAAACCTGGCTTTACTTGGAAGAAATATAGCCAAATACTGCAAATAATTTCTTTAAAAGGAAGCTATAAAGTGGGAGAGCAGAGGATGCTGAATACATCCCTCGCTTGGGGCATGGCCCTAATCATTTGAGGGTAATAATGCTAAATTAATTGAAAACATATGGGCCTCATTATTATCAAAGTGTTGTAAAAGCATTATAGTATACCAATGCAGTCTGGTACTGAGTGCAATATAGCACCTCAAGACTGTTAGGTTAAATTTTTAAAGGAAAAAAATAGTAATGTAAAGACAAGTTTCAAAGTAGCAACAACTATTGGTGAAGTGATCGAAAGCCAAAGGTTATGCTGAAAATAATATGCAATGACCAAGAATTTTGGAACTCTGTCATAGCTCTTTTTCCAATTTACTATGGAAACTCTTATGAAGAGTTGACAAAATTTGGCTAAGGCTATAATTTTCCGGTTAGTGCTGTTCAGAGATCTTCAAACATGTTTGTTTGTTTTTTCCCTCAGGAAAGTAGAGCTTCCAGGCCCACCCACATCAAAATGCATTCTGTATTGGAAAAGGAAGGTCAAGTCAGAATACATGCGTCTTAGGCAACTCAAGAGACTTCAGGCAAACATGGGAGCTAAGGTAAAGCTATACTTTACCTTGAGCAGAAAAACTATTTCCAGTAGGCTTTACTTCTGCATGTTGGGATGGACAGATAAAATCTGACTGGGTGAAATTTTTATCTTACAACTGGCTTTCCTTCAGGAAGATGAGAAGTTTAAATAAGATGTAAAAGTATGCATTGATCTGTTCTCACCATCATCTGTTTATTCTGCAGATCTAGAGTCCATATTCATGGAGTTCAAGAAGCTCCCTGCAAACCCTATAAATACCTCCCCCTATTTTAGCAACAGCCATTGGTGCCCATATGGAGACTGCCTCTGGTGCTCTCCCTCCTTCTCCTTCCCCACTGGCCTTCTCAATACTGTTGCTCTGCTACAAATCTATCCTGCCTCCTGAGAAGTAGCCAAACAGTGTCATATGCACCCATCCTCCTTTCCTTTGAAGGATGCTACAGGAGAAACATGTAGCAACATCTTCCACCTGCTTCTGAGTGGGGGGGGGAACTTTATTCAGGGGCATTTTTTATTATTATCATTGTTATTATTAAATTTATATGCCGCTCATCTCCCCCGGGTATCTGGAGCTCCCTTCAAGCCTTATGTTGCACCAGAGTATTGTATAGTGGGCAGTGGACAAGGGTGTTCCCAGCACAGAGGCGAGGTAAATTCCTCTGGCCTGACAGAGGTGAGCCTCCTACAGAATACTGTCTGACTCCTTTTTTGCAGTCATCAGAGCACTTTAAGATTACATGACCCAATTACTGGGGGTGGCTAGTAGTAATGAAAGTGTACTAAGATTTAATGTGTCTATTTGATGCTCCAAAACACAAAAAAGATAAAAAAGGAGGTGGCAAAAGTTCAATTCCTGGTAACATGACTGCTATGCCTGCTTAAAAAATTGGGCGGACTCTGACAGAAAAAGGTTGGTTCTGCCTGGCCTCTAGACAACCCATGACCAAAACAACCCTGATGAGAAACAGAATATTAAAAAACTAAATGTAAACTATCTCACTGAGGAAAAAATGAAATTCACTTCCTCATATTCATGGGTACAAAATGACTTACCAGGTCAACATATATGATGCCACCATGAACTGAGAGGGACAGGAAGCAGACAGTTGGCATTATTATGTATTGCAATATGAAAAGGATCGATTTCGATTGTACTAGCAGAGAAATGGTATAACTGTAATCTGCCTGCCTACATAAGATAGTTGATAGTCAGTGATGCAGGTTTAAGAATGATTTCCTGTTTGCTTCCTGTGACTTTCATGGATCACTCTTCCATGATGGCAAAAGGTTGATCTGCTTTTTTTTCATTCTTCTTTTCCTGTAGGCTTTATTTGTGTCTAACTACACAAAGATTCAGGAAAAGATAAATATCCTAAATGATGACTGGAAGAAGCTTAGAGTTCAGCCTATTCAGTCTATGAAGTTGGTTGGAGGAAACCCTTTTCTCAAACAGGTATTGCAGCATATAATCTACTATCTCTCCTTTCCTAAGTTCATATTCACACTCCCATAATATAATATCCCTATTTTCCATGTCACTGTGAAGTTCCACATTTACCCAGAGAGAAAATTTAGATGAGTTATGTAGAGTCATCAGTATGAATAGAAGTTTTTTCAGAGTAAGAAAGATCATTCAGGACCATCCAACAAGCAGCAGCAGCAGGAAAGGTTGACATTCCATGTGCAAAACCAATACTTTTATCTCCTGCCAGTTGCTGCAGGATCCTCTTTATGGTGGTCCCTTTGTGCTTTTAATTTCCTGATTCCTGTTTTTATGTTCAGCGCCTTCTGTTCCCTAAGCCCTTCAGTTTATTGATGTGTGTCCTTTGGGGATAGAAGAGAAATAGGCTCATGGATTGGGATGGGCTTAATTGGTGTGTATTTTTCCCAGAATCATGGCCAGTGGGCAGACTTGGAACTTTCCAAGTAATGCGAATTAATGCCTCTGATGATGTTGAAAATGCCTGTTTTGCCAACTGACTGACCACAATCAACTCTTTCATCACTATATTTAGGGATAAGAGCTTGCAAGTTAGCAGGCATGCCAATAAGCAGGCTAAGTCTTGTCCTTGCAGTGTTGTCCAAACTTGGCCACTTTAAGATGAGTGGACTTCAACTCCCAGAATTCCCCAGCCAGCCATGAAGCCATGAAGCTTCCCCATGCTGGCTAGGGAATTCTGGGAGTTGAAGTCCACTCATCTTAAAGTGGCCAAGTTTGGACAACACTGATTTAATGCATTGTCAGTAATATAGTGCTTAACAACATCCCCAGACAATAAGTCAAATCAGAGAGGCATGTTCATAAAAGGCATATTTACACAAAATGACCTTAATTTGCTGCTTGAAAGCCTATGGAGAAAGAACCATCTGGATCTGAGAAGGTAAAAAAAAAAAAACCAAGGCAAGGTTGAGGTGAAGGCCTCTGCAAATTATGGAGGAACATGGAGCAGGGTTTCCCACAGTGGCTGTAACGTGTTGCTAGATTTATATGGGAAGAGATGATTTGGTAACAAACCATTCTGGTCTTCACTACTAAGTACCAGCACGTCACAGTGGGCTTAGAAAATAATATGATTGTCAACTTGATGTGATAGTGGCTCTGTATGATCAAAAGTCCAGCTTCTTCCCTCTGAATGTAGTGGTTCATGATGCCCTCCAGTGGAAGCAGGAGAGAAAACCATAACAGAAGAGGATTTCTGTCTGATACTAAAGCATGGCCACTGGGGCACATCATATCTGCCTCCTTTAGTACTCGGAATGGATGAAGATATATTTAACATGGAGGTTCTTTAGAAGGGTGGCTTGTATATTACTCCTTCTGATGGGGCATGCTTTTCTTCTCCTCCAGTGCACAGTCGAGAGCATCTTCCCCACTTTGAGTACCCAGACTTTGTTCATGCGGACTCTAAACACTGTAGCCCTGGTGCCTATCATGTATTCCTGGTCTCCACTCCAGCAGAACTTCATGGTAGGTAACCAGCTACTGCCATAATTCACAGCTTCAATGTGAGTATTTTCTTTTGAATCCGGAGCATCATTTTAAGGCCTGGTTGGGAGGCAGCAGGGTTTCTTCATGGAGTACTACCCAGTGCAAGACCATCTTCTACTTTTCTTTCTGAACCTGAAATACATATCTGTTAAGGTGGAGACAGCACAGTTATTATTCATCTGATGACCGAAGTGAAATTTCTTGCTTGTCTAAGTTGTCCTCAGTGTCTAAAACATCTGGATTCCAGATGGGAAAAGGTGGCATTTAGAAGCCATGCCTTGCACAGGAGGATCAGAGAAGTTCAGTTTGATTCTGCAAAATAAGAGTGTCCTATGAACAATCTTCCATTCTCTGATGAGTCTTTTTCATTCCTAATCCCAGCTACTGGAAGTTCAGAACTAGGGAAATTTACATTCTGACATTTCTTATAAGGAGCTTCTTCATCCCTTCTCAGAAACTTGCTATCACTAATGAAGGCTGGGAGTGGGAGTGGGAGTCTTCAGAAGCATGTATTCCAATGGTGGGGAACCCTTTTTTTTTGTTTTACTTATTGTCATCTTACAAATAGATGAGGTTATTAAGTTAATAATTGCTCACAATTTTGCTGACTTGCTGTTGGGTCACTCTGAGTCACTCCCAAGGGGCAATTCATGGGGCTTTTGCTCCACTTTAGAAGCATCTTATCTGGCAGCAGTGCTTTCATATGTCCCACCGGCTTCACTGAGTTGGAACTAAAAGACACTTCCTGCATTGCTTTTAAAGGCTGCCCTCCCTCTTTAGCCAGTGTTGAATGGAGAGAAGAGTATCCTCCTTACCTTGATGGGTGATGCTTGTTGTACAGGTCATGCTGTTATATGGTCTTAGCTCCCTTCCCACATAAACTACGCAATCCAAGATAGAAAAAAAACATTCTGAACCCCCCTCTACAGTAAGCAGTGATAAAGCTGGAGTTCTGCTGCTGCAAAATAAGCAAGATGAAATTATGTGAGCCACTGCTGCCACCTCAACCTCCTCCAGAGGGCACTGGTTGAATGGCATGGCCTTGCCTTTGGAGTAAGTGCTCATAAAGAAAGACCTTGTGATGCTGGGATATACTGTCTCACCCTTCCCTAATCTGGCACCCTCCCAAATATGTTGGACTACAGCTCCCATCCTCCTCCAGTCACCATAAAGAGTGCTGTGTGGGAGAAGGCTGTACTGTGCAGTAAAATCAGCAAATATCCCTCTGGGATCTCGTTAAGGTAGGCATGCAATCTGCCATTTGCAGGCTCTTCTGGTGAGTGGACAAGGGACAGCCACCTGCCTCCCTCAGGCTGTGTCTGCCCCGTTTGCAGGTGGAGGATGAAACCGTTTTGTGCAACATCCCTTATATGGGAGATGAGGTAAAAGAAGAGGATGAAACCTTCATCGAGGAGCTCATTAACAACTATGATGGCAAAGTCCATGGAGAAGAAGGTAAAGGTCACAGTCTTCCATGGAGATTGAAGGGCCCCAGATCATGTGTGGGGAGAAAATTGGAGGGAAGTTTCTCTGACAGCATAGATTTCATGCTTGAAGAAATGTCCCAATTCTGCTCATTCAGGTCAGATTAGATTGTCTTCATGGGCACACACACGTTGTTGTTCTTCATGAGGTTGAGCCTTTTTTCCATGCCTAGCAATCATCCATTCACCCAGTTCTCCCTTCCAGAGATGCTCCCAGGTTCTGTCCTGATCAGTGATGCTGTTTTCCTGGAGCTGGTAGATGCATTAAACCAGTACTCTGAGGAGGAAGATGATGGGCATGATACTGTAGAAGGCAAACAAGAAGCTGTGAAGGATGAGCTGCCTGTCACCCGGAAGAGGAAACGCCTTACCTTGGAAAGTACGTTTTTTGCTTCTTACCCACCATGCCCCTTTCTATTGGACCCACAATAATGCTGCCACAACTTCACTAGCTTTGCTCCTCTTTGCCTCTTCTATTTGGTATTTTGTACTAGGCAGTACGAACTGGCAAGAAGAGGGCTATAACTTCAGTTCTGGGTCATGTTCTTCTCCTAATGGAAGCAAATTGTTTCAACTGGATCTTTCAAGCTTCATAGCTCTTCTATCACTCCACCCCAGAAAGTATTAAATGAAGTGATATAACAAAATATTCACAGACTAAACATTAAGGGCCCCTACAAGTATAATACAATTTCTATACACAGTTTCTTTATGACTCCCATGTTCATACTCTTGTGTTTTGCTGGGCAAATTATATTGACTGCATGACAGTATACACATGGAAATGTAGAGAAAAAGGCACCTGTTGGCATTTTCTTGGTCAAAATTGCTATTGTTTTCCTGAATTTTACAGCATAGTTTATTGTCTGATGTTTACCTGATGGTTTCTTCCTAATTATCCTCTGAACCAATCCTATCTTGGAAGAGCAGTATTCCAGGGAGAGGAATACTTTAATTCAGAAAATATCAGTAGGCTTTCTTGCATGTCTAATACAGGTAACAAGAAATGTTCAAAGAAGCACTTTCCAAATGACATGATCTTTACTGCCCTTTCATCAATGTTCCCTGAGAATGGCTTTCCAGAGGATATGAAAGAAAGGTAGGAATTATCTAATTCAAGCCAAGTATCTTTTGGTTTTTCTAGTCTGGACCTGTTGTAGTCTAATTTCCAAGATGGATATCAGAAATATTGCCTCAAAAAAAAAACAAAAAAACTAAACAGGGTCAGACATGGTTAATGCTGGTTAAAGCAGGAGACTACCAGGAAGTCTCCAGACTGTAATCTAGATTGAGAAATTGAAGACACCCTAGAAGGAGGCAAAAGCAATCTATATCCTTATTGTTGCCAAGAAAATTATTTGGAGATGTCTATGTAGTCACTTGCAGACCAGCTGAACATCACATCAGGAGTGCTTTGTTTGCATAGCTAAACAATTTGTGAATTTGACTATCACTTCCTAGCAAAGGCACTGATACAAAATTGATGTGTAGTTTACAACCTAATTGCTGCAAGAAAGTTATGCTGGGTGATAGTAGTGTGGTGGTGGTCTTGCTTTGATCTCCCCCTGCTGCATGCTTTGGATTCTTTGGCATAATCATCTTAAGCAGTGTGCTTCAAACACATGTTCCTGCTGTGCTTGTTGTATGCAGAGGTTTGGACTGGCTGGACTGCATAATATACAATACTGGTTCATAATCTGCAATGCAATTAGGGTTATGCAGATCCCAAGATACTTCCCACCTCAAAGTATTCATTTGAGGCAGTGTGTTTTTGCTTGAACAGCATGATAGCTAGTATCTGCCAGTGATCTTCAGACCATGAAATGATAACTCATTCTCTCTTTTAAAATTAACAATTTTACCAGGCAGCAGCTTTTAAGTCAAGCATAAGTACAGACTGTCAAGGTCTTTTCAATGTTTGGAGCAACTTTGGAAGGTCCCTGTATGACTCTGAATGACTCTTTTCTTCCCCCCTCATTTCCACAGATACAGGGAGCTGACAGAAGAATCTGACATGAATGTGCTCCCTCCCCAGTGCACACCTAATATTGATGGGCCGTGTGCCAAATCTGTTCAGCGTGAGCAGGCTCTGCATTCCTTTCACACACTTTTTTGCAGGCGCTGTTTCAAGTATGACTGTTTCCTCCATCGTAAGTTCCTGATACAGTCCCTACCTCATTCCTGGTTATTCTGTTCCAGCTTGCAACATTTTCATGGGAAATGTTAGCAGATTCTTTTGGGGAGGCTGTTCCCTAGCAGAATCTCCTGCCTTCTGTATAGATGCATGCATAGCAACCCTTTTAATTCCACCTTTCAAAGAGTTCTCCTAAAACGTCCACCTCCATTTGCCTTCCATAGTGCATTTTTTACCTTCTTACCTCCCCTCCCACCTATCTATCACGCTGAAGTATCCAGAGTGGCTTAGAAAATCTGTATAACATCTACCATGATTTAATAACTCAGTTACAGTAAAAGCCCCATAGATATTCCACTTAAAATCCAGGTGGGTTAGCCATTGAAATACTAATGTCTGCCTGAAATAGCCAGACTCAAGTTTGGTTTGCTAGGCAGTAATAAAACATTACAAGAATAATTAGCATTACAAGGCAGGTATACAGGTAGTTCCTCAGTTTTTGGTATAGCTTCATTTCCATTCTGAAAATTGCCCCCCCCCCCAAAAATAGATCTCTTCTGTGCATCTGCATGTTTGATGTTCTGCTGAATTTAGGATTGGGTGAATCTAGCCTAGCTCTGGTACAAACTCTTACAAAATTATTTGACTAGTAGTAAATATTGCACTGCTGGGATTTGGGGTGTTTTCATAAAAAGGGGAAGGGGAGTATTTTTCAAGGTTCCTATTCTAACCCAAGCAAGGTGGTTACTCTCTTTTAGCTTTTCATGCAACCCCCAATGTTTATAAGCGGAAGAACAGGGAGACCAAAATTGAGATGGAGCCTTGTGGACCAGACTGCTTCTTGTGGTTGGTAAGTTGGATGAAGGTTGCTGGAGGTGCAGAACCAATACTATGGGCATTAATTAAATAGTAATATAAAAATTATTTTGCAGGCATCAATTATTGCTGTCATAAAATATGCATATTGTACATTCTCAAGTAAATGGTCATATCTTGTACATCTTTCATTTCAGACATTTTCACATTATCTGTGTGAGCTCCAACCCACCAAAGCTTATGCCACTATAAATGTTTTAAAGGTGCTAATAGGACCATTTTTGTTTTTTTACTCTATTTTAATATGACTGTCTTTCATTACTACAAATGACAGCTTCCCCTGTTATCCTATTACACATTTCCAAAAATAACCATGCCTTTCCTATCAGATCTGGGCTGCAAAAATTCAGATGACCCTCAGATGTCAACAAAAAGTTAATTTTCTGTATCTTCTTGTCAGTTAATTGTTCTCCAGATTTTTGCAGCCTGGATCTAGGAAGCCCTAAATTTCCATTTTAAAAAATCCCTAAAACCTAAAAAGACATTTATCCAAAAGAAAGTACATACAATTATGAAATTATAAGGAGGGATGATGTGTTGATTTCATGCTTTGCTCCTCTCCTTATAGTGCGTATTTCACTGCATGATCTACCTATCTTACCTGTGTCTGTTTCTAGCAGACGCAGAAGACTTCATTTCAAAAAAGAATCAACTGCAAGATGCTTCAGAATGTACCATTTTCTTATATTAGCAGCCCAGGATAAAAACTGCTCATTCTTAGAGGCCTCCAGTTTCCCATGCATTCAATTTTCCATACAATTGAGTACATTGTAATCAATCTGTTTCTCTTTCTTGACAACTGCTTCATGTTGTCTAACGATAAACAGAACTTTGTATACTTTGATTTCCATAGTCTTGGGCAATATTGTACTTTCCATAAGGTTGGGTTGCTAAAATTCTGCAGCAAGCAGCTTGTCTCCAAAACTTTACAGCAAATTTCATTGCCACTTGAATGTTTGGAAGCAAATGAGGAAAGGGGTTCATAGGGCCATACAAAGCCATTGGAGAGGTTTTATACAGCCTGTAAATTACCTTTCCTGCTCCAAATGGTTGGGGTATATTCCCTTCCTTTATGAGCATGAGTGGCTTATGATCTACTGTAAAAACTTGCCCACCTCTTCTATCTAATTTCCAGGGAACCTAGGTTAGCACTTTCATTGTTCACTGTGATGCACTACTTTAGAAGGAAATAGGATAGGAGTCTGAACCTATATATAAATTGTGTGAAAGTTCCAAGGACTTTCAACTTCTAAGAACTAACAACTGTGCAGGTCTAGTTAAATTGACTGCGATACGGTCTAGCAAGGATATCCAGGAAGAGTTTGAGCCTGTTAGCCCTATTAGTGCAGCTACCAACATACTTGATCCCTCCTGGTTGGTCAAAGCCTCCTGGGAGGTGATGTGTGGATGGTTCCAAGTGGTGGTGAATTCATCCTCGAGGGAGGGAGTGGTTCCATCTGTGCTTAAGGAGGCAGTGGCCGGACCACTCCTCAAGAAGCTATTGCAGGACCCCATAGTGTTGAATGATTTCTAGCCCATTTCCAACCTTTCTGAAGCTTGTTGAAAAGGTAGCCTGCAGGAGGAAACAGATTATCTGGGCCTATTTCAGTTAGGTTTCAGGCTTGATCACAAAATAGCATTGATCACACTTATAGATCACTTATGGAGGAATCAGGAAGAGAATGGTCAATCATCCTAAACTTCATTGATCTCTTGGCAGCTTTTGATGTCATCAGTCATGGTATCCTTCTGGACAGGATCAGGGGGTTAGGAATGAGAGGCACAGTAATCTGGTGGTTCTCTTCCTTCTTGTAGAATTGGTTCCAGTTGGTGTTGATGGAAGAGGTCGAGCCCTCAGTCTCTGCTTTGTAGGAAACCTCAAGGCTCAATTCTTTCCCCACTACTATAACATCTACATTAGGCCTTCCTAATGTAGGTCATCCATCAGGACAGGGTTAGGTATCATTAGTGTGCTGTGGATACATGGCTAAGCATCTCAACCCTTGGCCATCCAGTGATGCTATTGAGTTTCTGTCTCAATTTCTGAAGGCTATATGGGGGGAAATCAGCTTAAATTCAACTCTGCATTTAGAACATCTGAACTCAGAGAGTTGTACACTGCATTTAGAACATCTGAACAGGACTCATGTAATTCTAATCTGATCTTGCTGCTAGGAGGGAGCCAAAGAGTTTGCCATACTGCATAACCCTCGGTCAAAGTGCTCTGGACGGCGTCGGCGCAGGCACCCCACTGTCAATGCCACCACCTCCACTAGTGCTTCAGCCTCTACAAGTGCTGAAGCAAAAGAAGGCGATAGTGACAGAGATACAGGCAATGACTGGGCTTCCAGTTCCTCAGGTAGGTGAGGCTCTCCTACCCAATTGCCTCATGGCTTGCAGACAGCAGGGATGGAGAAATTGCAGAAATCATGGTCTCTTGCCCCTTAGAAATGGATGTGCTCCAGCAGACTCTAATGCAAACAAGAATCAAATCTTATTTCTTCTGTGGAATTTGCCCAGATCTTAATTTATGTCAGAGTTTGCTCTCAGTAAATTTTAGTGCCAGACTTAAGCTTTCAGTCACTGTGTTGAAGCACATGCAGAGTATCTTTCTGTCATCACAAACAGTCCTTGCCCAGTTGAGATTAGTAATTCTTCAGCAGATGGTGTTACTTGCAGGTAGACATTTTTGAGATATGTTAAAGGCAAGCAAGAATGTTGGCATGTTTGGGTTCAGGGTTGCTCTTCAGGCGCATGCATGCTTTCCACATCTGTGCATTTCTTTTGTTGCTCCAGAGGCAAACTCACGTTGCCAAACTCCAACCAAGCCGAAGCTGAGCCCATCCTCTTCCCAGCCCTTCATGTCTGATGTGCCTCTGGAACCTGTGGAGTGGTCAGGGGCAGAGGAGTCCCTCTTCCGTGTTTTCCACGGAACTTACTTCAATAACTTCTGTTCCATTGCTCGGCTTCTGGGAACCAAGACATGCAAGCAGGTATGAGCCTCGGTAGGCCAGGACTGGGCGTGGACATCTGGTTCCTTCACTTAGAACTCTATCTTCAATGAGTTGTATTTCTTGCTTGGCAGGTCTTTCAGTTTGCTGTAAAGGAATCCTTGATAACAAAGCTACCAGTTAATGAGCTCTTGAATCCCTCCCAGAAAAAGAAAAGGAAGCACAGGTGTGTGTTCAAGGGAATCCAGCCAATAGAAAGTCATACAAGGAATAGTTCTAGGGGGACAGTAGTTCTTGGGGAAGGCTCAGTGACTTGGGGTGGGCTGGGGTTGCCAAAAACTAACATAGCCTTATGGACCTCTGAACCACTCCCACCCCCCCAAAAAAGATTTAAAATGCAGTGGTATCATTCTCAGTTTTTGTTGTTGTTCTTTCATCTACTAATTCCACTTATACTGTCTGAAAGATCTGGTAAAAAGGCTAAGGACAGTTAGAGAGAATGCAGATTTGGGAGATCCAGAATTTTTCTGTCTCCAGAATTAAAATTGTGACATTCTTTTCTCTCTTCCCTTTCCCCAAACAAAGGCTCTGGGCTGCTCACTGCAGGAAGATCCAGCTTAAGAAAGGTAATGTGTTTCCTGCCTCTACAGTATCCTGGTTCTTCTTGTTCCCATCTCCTTCTTAAAAAAAAGAATGGAATGTAGGTTTGTCAAAGCCTAGTCAGGCCAGGCCACCTCAACACTCCCCTTTGTCTCTAAAATTTTCTCCAGAATATTCCGATCAATTGATGACACAGTGTTTCCTCATTATCCCAGATGTCTGTAATTAAGCTGAAGCAGTATTCTCTCTTAGCAGAAGTCAAAATCCTGAAGGAGGACATTCTGATTGCCGACATCTGGTATTTTGAAAAGTAGCTTAAATAATCCATGCCTGTGCTGTTTTTTTGCCGTATCCCAGCACTTGCAGTAAACTGGTAAACTTGAAGTGGCCTTCTGCACTGGAAACACTGGCTTCTGTGATATCTGGGGACTGAGATCTATGCAGTATTCAAATTTCCTAGGGCTCAACTCATAGATGTTCCTTCTTCCTGCAGACAATTCATCCACTCAAGTGTACAACTACCAGCCCTGTGACCATCCAGACCACCCTTGTGACAGCTCCTGTCCTTGCATTGTGACACAGAATTTTTGTGAGAAATTCTGCCAGTGCAATCCTGACTGTAAGAAATGAAGCACTCTGCCAAGCTGGCAAATTCTGGCTATAGTTTCTAATGTTTTTTTCATGGCATCCCTTTAAAGATGTGTATGTTTCTTTTGCAAGGCCAGAACCGGTTCCCTGGCTGCCGCTGCAAGACCCAGTGCAACACCAAGCAGTGTCCCTGCTATCTGGCTGTGCGGGAATGTGATCCAGACCTCTGCCTGACCTGTGGGGCCTCAGAGCACTGGGACTCCAAGGTGGTTTCCTGCAAGAACTGCAGCATCCAGCGGGGCCTAAAGAAGGTACATTGCAGTCCCAAAATAGCGGAGGAAAAGCCTGAGAAACAAAATTGTGCAAGTTTGGAGGAATGCTTTAGGAATGCTGAGGAAAAGAAAGGAGATGAGAATTATGGAGCCTGGCATAGGAATGTGCTACTTGGAATGGCATACAACTGATTTAGCTTAGGTGTTTTATTCTGCTTCTGCTAGCCAATGTGAAGAGCTGTAGGAAGGACTCAGACCCAGTTAGTTTCCAATTAGTAGATGCTTGCACCCATTCCCCATTCTCTGAAGCTTCAGCCATCTTTGCCAGCCTGTCTCCATAACAGTGAGGGCTGGTTTTTTAAATGGGACCCCCCTGGTATTGGAATTGAAGATAAACTGGGCTGTAGTATACCTTTATTTGGAGATTTTGAAGATAGCCTTCAAAAGATGCTCCAGGTAGAGGATATCTTGTTGTGGTTGGGGTCCTAGAATATACTATCCATTTGTTTGTCCCTTTCCCCTCCCCATCTTGTAACCTTCTGGGTTTGTTCTTTTGAACTGCTTCATAAAATATACTTCTGCCTCTCTTCCTCATAGCACTTGCTGCTGGCCCCATCAGATGTTGCTGGGTGGGGAACCTTCATTAAGGAGGCGGTGCAGAAGAATGAATTTATCTCTGAGTACTGCGGGGAGGTGAGTTGGAAAGGTAGAAGACGACTTAGGACCCTCAAGCCTCTCTGCTGCATTCCTTGCCCTCAGCTATGGGTATCAAGGTGGATGAGAGGACAGGTTCTTTGTTCATCTCCTGAACGGCAACTCAGCCTTTGAGCGTATGAGCTGAAAAGAGAAAAGGGATCTTCTGAGGGAGATACGTGTTTCTCTTTCTGGAACAGTAATAGATTTTGATCTTTGGCAGCATTCCATGAAGTTGGTAATTGGTAATGGCTTCTCAACATATTCTCTCACTTGGTCAACGTTGGTTTTAGATGATGGGACTTGAAGCTGAAATCTAGGCAAGCTGTCATTTCTGGTGAGGAGTTGGCTGACATTCTTGGCCAGGCTGTGATGTTGGGGAAACTTTCTAGTCAGTTTCTGATTAATTCCAGGTGGAGTATTTGTACCATTTCCAGCATAGCTCCACCTTTTTCTTAACTCATAATTGGATTTTGTGTTTAGTTTATAGCAACACAACAAACATAACAATAATGGAAAATTAAATCAGAGGAGAGCAAAAGGGCAAGGAGAGGGAAAGTGGTATGGGCAGCTTTTATAAATTTTCATTCTCAATTTACAGAGTATCATAACAATGTTCCTTTATGTTTTCAATTTGCATAGAGCTATGAATAAGTTTGCCATGTAGCTGGCAAGCATGTAATATCTGTAATGTAAAATATATAGCTAGTCCATACACATGAAGAGGGGATAAATCCTTTGGCCACTGTTTATTATTTCTAGTTCTGTAAAATGATACATTTGGTAGCCAACAGGATGCATGTAAACTATTTGTGCTGCCCTGGGACAAGATTCCTCATAAAGCTGTTTTGCCTGCAAAGTTTAGATTTGTTTCCAGGAATAAATTGTTGCATTCATTACCTCCTATTCAGAATTGAGCAACATCAGGGCAGTACCACATACTTTTATCATTGCATTACCAGAAATTGGAGCAGTGTAGCATATTTTCTTTTAACAACTATAAATGATTTGTTAACAATTGTAAATGAAACCAATATGTTATTGAAAACAATTTCCATTGTATGTTGCAGCATCTCATACTTAGGGCTGAAGTTGTAATTGAAAGAAGTACAGCCTTGTCCTAGGTTGGGAAGATGATGATAATTTATTAAATTTATATGCTGCCCAATTCCCAGCAACTCTGATTCTCCCACTCTGTTTCATTTTACACTTGCTGACATGTCCCAAATTTGACTCTAGCCATATGCAAATAGAAATCAACAATTTGAGTAGTACTGATTCTCTTGTATGGGTTATAGATGAGAAGAACTGAGGGTGGAATGACCAAATTTATTAACGTATGTCTCAGTTGTAGGTATTTCCACTGAGAATGTATCAGGAAATCAATATATTTTGTATAGATAAAAAAGAATGCAAAAATTCATTCCTTATCTATTAAGTGCTCTAAAATGGTAATTTGACTACCTGTCACAGTTTTTCATCTGTCAAAATGTGTAGCCAGCAAATTTAGTTAATATCAAACCCAGTTTGTTTAATTTTCTGCCCCATCTATTGCAAAGTGGAAGAAAAACTCTGTTTAGGTGCTCTTTTTCTCCCTTACCCCACTACTGTTCCCAGCAAGATAGCTAAATTTTGTCAGCTTTGGGGGCATTGTTTTCAGATCTCTTGATTATTTGGGAGAAGCTAACATTCTTTGGGAGAAGCTAAACCTTTGGGGGTTCTTTGGGAGAAGCTAAGCCCTCTAACATCTGTACCATCCGAGTTGGTCTCCTTATGGCCACTGACAAATTCTTGCCCATTGTCTTCCCTTTTCCCAGCTCATCTCTCAAGATGAGGCTGACCGGCGTGGCAAAGTCTATGACAAGTACATGTCCAGCTTCCTCTTCAACCTCAATAATGGTAATTGGCTGTTGTTGGGTGAGGTAGAGCTTGCAGTTGGCTCTGTGACATGATCTCCAGTAAGGGGTGGTGAAGCAACTTGATGGGAGCAGGGCCCAGAACTCTGCCTCCCATGGCTTTCAAGGGTGTTTTTGCATGAGGAGTTTAGCTTTTGCAGTAGGCCCAGTCTCTGAGAGCTCTATCTTTAGCTTCTTTTTTCCTGGGCAGATTTCGTTGTTGATGCCACTCGTAAAGGCAACAAAATCCGCTTTGCAAACCACTCCGTCAATCCCAACTGTTACGCCAAAGGTGAGACTTTTTAGAGCTCAACTGTCATTCTGTAGCAATAGACTCCATCTTGGAATCTGGTGTTTCTAGGCAGACCTCCTTGCTATTTTTCTACCCTACAATGGGAACCCAACCTGAAAAGGTTAAGCGTGATAGGTGTATGTCTTAAATAATTGGATCAAGTACATTCAGCTGTTTATAAAAAAGAGGGTATGCTACCAGCCATTATAAGTATAATTACTGATTTTTTAAATGTAGAATTTAAATCTCTTCATCAGAAAATCTGGTCACAGAAAAGCCTGATCATAGAAGAGATGCTGGAGTTCAAAAGCAAAGCAGTAGCATCCTAAAGCTGAGAGATGAGATGTGATGAAAGCTCCCTATTTTCTGCCAAAACTCCTTACTTCAGCTTCACAATTACTAGCAGGCACTGCTGGGAGTCACATTCATATTCTAGAGAGCTTCTTTGTAGCATGGAACTCAAAATCCCAGTTTAAGCAAAATGGTAACAACAACAACAACAACAGCAGCCATCATTTTAATTAACACATACACATTTCTAGCTTTTTCCAGGATGCAAAAAAGACCCTTTGGATCATCTAGTAATTGTGTCTATGCTAGCTAAATACATTTGCATTCTCAGGTGTGAAAATAAATGACCTCTAGTTCAGCAAATGCCACAATCTTGAAATCTTGTTTGTTGAAGGCTGGAAATGAGTGTAGCAGTGGGAGCCTTGGCAGGGTGATCCTCGTAAAAATCTAGGGCTGGGCAACTGATTCAGTCTCTTTCTTGCCCCAATTCAGTGGTGATGGTGAATGGAGATCACCGCATTGGGATCTTTGCAAAGAGAGCAATCCAGGCTGGCGAAGAGCTCTTTTTTGATTACAGGTGAGTGCAATCTAATTCCATTTTCCAAAGGTTCCGAGATATTGCTTGGTAAAGTATCTCATAAGTGTCTTCACAGAGACCACAGTGCACCTGTTCATAGCAGTTTCACTTCTCCCCCAGGTATAGCCAAGCAGATGCCCTCAAGTATGTTGGCATAGAAAGAGAAACTGACATCATCTGACTGAAATTACTGGCCCCCAGTGCTCCCAGCCAGTATCACTGCATCCTATCCATGCTGCTTCCTTTGTTGCTATGTGTGTTATGAGAGCTTCATTCCACCTGGATTCCTCTGTAGAGAAAGGAAAGGCCCAGCTCTTTCTATGGACTTGAGACTCTGGTTCCAAGGCCACCTGCCTGGCAGCTAGTGGTGCCATGGAGAATTCTGCTGAATCACTGTTGGGAGGCCCTGAAAAAGCAAAGTGGTTTAAGACCACTATGTATACTGGGGCTTGCTAATCTGTTTGATTCATTGGTAAAAAAATGGTTTGAGCTGAAGAAAGTATTTCTTTGGTCTGGCTGCAGGCAAAAGTAGAGCAGAGAGCATCCCAACACAAACATCACCTGCAGGGAAGATTGTAAAGTATTACACAGAGGCTTGGGGGGGAAGGCTGGGAAGAGGGATAAAAGAAGAGTATTAAAAGGATGGAATGAGTATTTCTGATTAGTGTAAGGAATGAGGTGGAGGGAGGGAAATGTGCAGGGAGGGTAAAGAAGGAGCATTAAAAGTAAGACATGGAATCTTTTTGCTCCATTTTGAGTCTTCCACAAAGCGTAATTATCCTTTCTGGTGTCTGCTGAATGTCAGCTTGGCACCTTAATACATTTGGAGGACAGTAAGTTGGGAAAGTCAGTTTCATTTCACTCCCACTTAGATTTAATCCCCACTCTTCTCAATTTCATGTACAGAATGTTTTGGATCCCAGAAGGAACCTGCATCACTTTTGATTCCAGTTCTCTTCATAAAGCTTCTTTCAACCACTGATGGTGGTGATGCACTTGTACTGTTTTGAGAAATTAATTTTCCTGATGGGTAACATTTGCCCCCAGCCTCTATAATTCATTCCCTTCAGTCAGTGACTTGTTACAACACTCTCTAATCCTCCTCTCCTTCTCTCCTTCCCTCTGTGGAATATTGGGCTTCATACTGAGCACTTCCAGTAATGAATATTATTTCTCAGTTAGTTGGGGGACTCATACATCTCTTCCCTTAAAACATTAAACATTTTTGAAGCCACAGGAGATATCCTTGATGCACATATGGAAGCAGGACAATTGGGTGCATGTGACCCAGGAGAGTACAGTAGAGTCTTTTAAAGACCAATTAATTCATCACCCACTCTGTTCCCCTCCCCACCTATTTATGTCCAAACAATCAATTAGCATGCACTTTAGAATGATTTGCTCCATCAAGACAGGGAGCAGGGCTCCCTGTAGATTATAGGGAATGAAAACTGATTCCATCTCTACTCCATGGTGTGGATTACTGTAGGAGCCAGAAATTGACTTCCTCATAAGTTAATACATGAGAGCTACAAATCAGTGATAAAAACTGGTTTATTATACTGATAAGAGTATTTGTTGGTGCCAGCAGTAGATTGGATCTACTAAATGGGTAAATCTCTAATTTGACACAGTAACAGAAGCCTCAGTCTTGGAGAAGAGAAGAAAGGCAGAAATGTAGTTTATGGAACTAGGCAGGGTGTGAGTAGAATGAGGTATACAGAATCATGATTAGCTACACAAATAGCATTATTTGGCCTAAGAAGGATTTTCAGTTGCTTTTGATCATGGTAGTTACATAACTGTAAAAGTGTTAACATTTCTGCACACAACATACCTGAAATAGATGAAACAGTACTAAATAGTATAGTTGAGCATATGTAGAGTGCCTTTACTACTGGCTAATTATGGCCTGATCTCTACCATTAGGGAAAGAGCTTCTGGGAATCAGTATACAAATGTGGGGGAACATAGTGTTCCACAGCCTCTCTTAGAAATTAATCAAAGAATTCAGTGGCAGCAGCAAGCCCTCCACTACCCTTTTTACTACTGCTTCGCCTTTTCTAGCCGCTTAATAATTGTGAGAAAAACGTCTGCTTCACGTACAAGTAGTCTCCGGGTTAAGAACACCCAATTTACAGATGACTCATAGTTAAGAATGGAGCCTATTGTAGCAAATTCTAGTTAAATACACAATGATTCAAGTTCATTACACAATGCTACTTATTCAGTATTATACAATAATACTGTTCCGGCTTACATACAAATTCG